CCTGCCCAAAAATAGCCCAGCTGTTAAATAGTGGGTTCCATGGATGAGCAGGCTCGAGGTCTAGTGATCAGCTCAACTTTATTTGTGATTTCAGCAACAGCAAGACAAGACTCCAGAGCCTCAGCATTGTTAAATAGCATGCAATTGCCACACCCGAACACACCCCATTCCCAGTGATAGGCTATTTACATAACATTACTACTAGATTGGTTCCTTTCAGAATCCTGGTCAGCTATTGCTCTTGTGCTCCAAGCTCAGCCAGTCTCTGGGGTGATTTAATCAGGAATGATTCAGTCGCAATACATAACACAAACAATGTGCTTCCTGGATTCAAGGTTGTTCCAGACACATAATGTCACAAAGTTAGAGTCCAATGGCACCTTTAAGACCAACAAATAATGTCACAGATGACTTGGGTGCTTCATGCAGTGGTCTGGATGCGCAGGAGCCTGGTTTACATGATTCCTTCTCCTTAAAAAAAGAGAGCACAAATTGGGCCTACAGGCATTAGGGACTTGGCATGGGGCAGCCCTATCAAGACTTTCACAGTGTCCATCTTTCTTTCTTTTTTAACATTTTATTTTATTTTATTTTTTTAATGAAGACCAACAAACATACACAGATGGGGGGGGGGGTTTCCATTAAATCACTAAAGTATCTAGTTAAGTATCTCCAGGGGTCATTTCCTAGAAAAAGAGGTGCAGGAGCTCATTAGCATAACTTATTTGCATATGCCACACCCCCTGACATCACCGGAAGTGTGTCAGAAGGCAACACCCACCGCTCAGGCTCCACTGGACTCTTTTGGATTGCTAGCTATTGGGGGGGACGGGACGTGCAGATCTGTCCTCGCAGAGGAGGGAGAGCTTGTACCTGAATAAAACTTGGTCTTAAAGGTGCCACTGAACTGTTTTGGACCAGGGGGGGGCTGGGGGGATCTCTGCAACTTACCTGGCTGCTTCTTGCTCTGACTGAGGGCTGCTGGGAGCAGGGGGTGCTCTTTACTGCCTGGGCTCTTTACTGCCGGAGCTCCGCTCCTGTGCGCTCCTGCAGGAAATGACCCCTGAGTTACCCCCTACCTCCCTGTGGGAACAAGAATGGTCGTGGGCAATGCTCCCTCAAAGCTGTGGAGTCTTGTGAGCAAAAATTCTACTTTGTAAACTACTGACATTAAAGTTGTGAGCGAGCGATTTGGCTAGTCCTGCATAAATGAGTTTGCTCTGGCGCCATCCTTCCTGAGCAAAGATGAAAATGTGTGAGCCGGAGGCTAAAAAATTGTGAGCTAGCTCACACTAACTCGGCTTAGAGGGAACAGTGGCTCGTGGGAGCAATCCTAAGCATGTCTACTCAGAAGTAAGTCTCATTTTATTCAATGGGGCTTAGTCCAAGGAAAGCGTTCTTAGGACTGCAGTCTAAATTCCCCAAAGGAAGTAGCTGCCTATGAGAGAGTACAGAATCCATGCAACAGTCACCTCGAGGCTAGACTACTGCAACGCTCTCTACATGGGGCTGCCTTTGTTGCAAATCCGGAAGCTGCAGCTGGTGCAGAATGCGGCGGCCAGGCTGTTGATGGGTCTTCCTAGTAGGGACCACATCCAGCCTGTGCTGAAAGCGCTGCCCTGGCTGCCAATAGCGTACCGGATTCGCTTCAAAGTGCCGGTTCTTACCTTTAAAGCCCTATATGGTCGGGGTCCAGCTTACCTAAGGGACCGCCTTTCCTCATATGTTCCCCCGCGAGCACTACAGTCTGGGTCGCAACACCTCCTGGCGATGCCGGGTCCCAAGGAGGCCAGGCTGGCCGCTACCAGGGCCAGGGCTTTCTCGGTGGCAGCTCCTACCTGGTGGAACGAGCTCCCGGAGGACATCCGGGCCCTGCGGGACCTTGCACAGTTCCGCAGGGCCTGTAAGACGGAGCTCTTCCGCCAGGCGTATGAGTAGGAGCCGCCACTACCATCACTACTGTTCCATCATAACCCGGCCCTGGAAGAAGGAACATCAGCGTTTCCCGGAACAGATGACGCTGAGTAGGTAGAGCAGTGTCATAGTTGTAATATGCCATCCGTGGAATATCATGGTAGAACATCTAGAGCACTTTTGTTAATATTAATGTTACTGTACTGTAGTGATTTTAAATGGTTTTAAATATGTTTTATATTGGCTTGTGCCTCTTTGTAAGCCGCCCTGAGCTCGCGTAGCGGGGAGGGCGGGGTATAAATTGAACTTATAAATAAATATAAATAAATAAATAATAAAGCTGAAAATAAAGGAAAATTGCATAGAGAAGTAGCACCTTTGCTGAGGGGGAGTTACTTCCAAGTAGACATAGAGTACACATAAGAACACACACATGAAGCTGCCTTCTACTGAGTCAGACCCTCGGTCCACCAAGGTCACTATCGCCTACTCAGACTGGCAGCTGCTCTACGGGGTCTCAGGAAGAGGTCTTTCGCATCACCTCCTGCCTCGTTGTCCCTTTCAACTGGAGATGCCGGGGACTGAACCTGGGACCTCCTGCACGCGAAGCAGAGGCTCTTCCACTGGGCCACACCCCTCCCCTGTTGTCAGCCACTGCAGGTAGGCGCAGTAGGATCTTGCCTTGGGAGATGGAGAGAAAGGAAAGGAATATAGCACTATATTAAGTGCCACATGAAATCAGTTCCGCTTGCAGAGGAACACGGCAGAGGGGTCTTTCCGCAGAAAGGGCATTGTGTGGAACTGTCCTGTTGTCCTGTAGGACATCAAGTGGTCTGGGGGAATCTGAGTTCATTTTATCTTGCAAAGTGACCTCCTCGCCTAAAGGGTTTTAAAAGGCAGGATAAGGCCTTAAGAATGGCTGGCGCCATAAATTTTGTAGAGTAACATCCAGCGGGCTGTAAAGGGCATCCCGAGTTGTGAAGAACATGTACTCTGGTACAATGCTCTCTCTAAGCCGTGGAGTCCTGTGAGCTCCTTTGTGAGCTCCTGGCATAAAAGTTGTGAGTGAGCGATTTGGCTGCTGCATGAATTCGTTTGCTCCGGAGCCCTCCTTCCTGAGCTAAGATTAAAAATGTGTGAGCCAGAGGCTAAGAAACTAGGAGCTAGCTCACACTAACTCAGCTTAGAGGGAACACTGCTCTGGTATAGCTGGGGGCATCACAGACCAGCTTTAAAAGATAGACGGGACGTTAAAATGAAGACTCTTTCAATCTGAAGATAGTTTTTCTTTGTGACCGGCCCCTTGGGCAAGGGTCTTCCTAGTCCTTGATTAAAATGTGGCTGCCCCGCTAAGAGCCGCAGTCTTTTAGGGTGCTAAATCCGGCCCATGGGCTATTGGCCACAACAAAGGACACTTTTGTTTGTTTATTTATTTGTTTCATTAATATCCCACCTTTCCCCCTTCTTCTCTCCTCCGTGTTATCCTCACAACAACCCTGTGAGGTAAGTGAGTGAGAATATGTGACTGGCCCAAGGTCACCCAGCGAGCTTCCATGGCGGAGTGGGGATTCGAACCTGAGACTCCTAGCTCCTTTTCTCCATGTTATCTTGTGGCTGCCCCGCTAAGAGCTGCAGTCTTTTAGGGTGCTAAATCTGGCCCATGGGCTATTGGCCACAACAAAGGACACTTTATTTATTTATTTGCTTCATTAATATCCCAACTTTCCCCCTTCTTCTCTCCTCCGTGTTATCTTCACAACAACCCTTTGAGGTAGGTGAGGCTGAGAATATGTGACTGGCCCAAGGTCACCCAGCAAGCTTCCATAGCGGAGCGGGAATTTGAAACTGGGCCGCCCAGATCCTAGACTGACACTCTGACCACTATATAACTCTGGTTCAGTTCACACTGATTTAACAGAACAAAGTGTGAGTCCAGTGGCACCTTTAAGACCAACCAAGTTTAATGCTGGTTGAATTTTATGGTGAAGATGTGACTTATTGGGTTGCTTGTGGACCCAGTGAATGTCAGCACCACAATGGGCCAATATGACAAACTGTGTCGCAATTTCATCAGTGGGAATCCAAATAGATACTGTTCACAGAAGATATTTTTTGGAATAAAAGCCAATGGTGAACCCTACAAGAGAGAATGGCTGTTGTACTCTCCTTCAAAAGGATCGGTTTACTGTTTTGTTTGTAAACTATTTGCGCCCAAAGGGTCAACGCATTTTGCTAGAAATGAGGGATTCAGTGACTGGCGAAACACTGCTGCAATCGACAACCATGAAAAAAGTACAACTCACCGAGATGCCATGTTGACATATTTCACTGGGAAACAAGGCTTAGGCTTGACACAGCCACTGGAAAAACAAATTGAAGAGGAGTACAATTACTGGGAGAATGTGCTTCGGCGTGTTGTAGCAGTCATTTGCACACTGGCTGAACGAGGATTGGCATTCCGAGGAAAAGTGGAAAAATTCGGGTCTCTCAATAATGGGAATTATTTGGGGCTACTCGAATTGATAAGTCGGTTTGACCCATTCTTGGCTGCTCACATCACAGTATGGCAATGCTGGAAAAGGCAACCCTTCGTACCTGTCCAAAATGATATGTGAGGAACTTCTTGAGTTAATGGCAAAGAAAGTGCACTCCGTCATCATTGATGAGATTAATGTTTCTGGGTACTTCAGTCTATCTGTGGACTCAATGCTTGATCTTTTGCATGTTGACCAACTGAGCATAGTGCTCAGATACTTGCAAGATGGACAGCCAGTTGAACGATTTATCACATTTTTGGAATTACAAAACCACACTGGTGGAGCCATGGCACAGCAGGTGTTGAAGTACTTATGTGATTATTGTAAATTGGATTTTGCTAAATGCAGAGCGCAGTCATACAACAATGCTGCCAACATGTCTGGACATTACAGTGGCATGCAGCAAAAACTTTTGGATGCAAATCAGTTTGCCATTTATGTACCCTGTGCAGCTCATTCACTAAATTTAGTTGGACGAAGTGCTGTGGATTGCTGTCAAGTTGCAGTAGATTTCTTTTCCACTGTACAACTGCTCTACACATTCTTTTCAGCCTCAACTGCTCGGTGGAGAATTCTCAAAGATTGCATTGGAAATGAAAAAGTGTTGAAATCACTTTCAGACACCAGATGGGAAGCACATGCTGTGGCAACTGCAGCAATTATCAACTCTTTCTTCAAGATTCTGGATGCTTTGGAAGATTTATCAGATGACCAGTTGCAAAAAAGTGACACTAGAAGGGAGGCAAAGAATATTGCAAACAAGATGCAAGAACTGGAATTTGTGTCCATGCTGAATTTTTGGAATGAAACTTTAGAAAAGTTTCATAGAACAAGTCAACTTCTTCAAAGTGAAAATGTGATCTTGCAAACATGTGCAGATTTGTATTCATCATTGGCAGACCAGTTACACATATCAAGAGATGAGTTTGAGAGATTTGAATCACTTGCAAATGACATGTTCCCTGATGTAGAATACAAAGCAACTCAAACGCATAAGTGTATAAGAAAAAGAATGCCCAACGATGGAAATGCACCAGAGGTCATTCTGAGTGCCAGAGACAAAATCCGTATCTCCACTTTTTATGTAATTGTTGAAAAATTAGAAACAGAAATGAGGAGGAGACGAAAGGTGTACACTGAAATAGACAGATTCTCTTGTCTGACAGATGTTCCTAATGCCACCCAACAAGGTGCTAATTCCCAATTATCAGAAAGTGAAAGGTACTCAAAGACTTGTCAGACACTCATTGATGCTTATCCAGATGACATGAACAACACTTTGTCTACAGAGCTTCAGCAGTTCCATTCATATGTTCTTCATAAGTTTAAAACAACCAAGAAAATCCTTCACTCACATGGAACTTTACAACACAGTTACAGAAGACAAACTAGAGAGCACCTTTCCAAATGCTGAAATTGCCTTAAGAATATTTTTAACATTAATGGTCACCAACTGCACAACACAGAGAGGTCTTTCTCACAACTGAAACATGTAAAAAACCCAAATAGATCAGTTATGCTTCAAGAAAGACTCAACTCACTGTGTATATTAACAATTGAAGCAGACATTCTGAGAGGTATTAATTTCGAGGATGTTATCAGTGATTTTGCGAAAATGAAATGCAGAAAAATGCCTTTCAGGTCATGAATATTGGAACTTTGATACATTTAACTTGTGAAATATTAAAATAGATGTTGTATTGCATTTTTGTAGAACTTTATGTCGCCCAAGCTTGGCTTAGTTTGTACAGTATATTGTGTTATCATATGAATAAATTTTTGTATTGCTGCAACCTGCATTGTCTATCTGGTCAGACAGGTCAACCACTAAAATGGACTGGGTCAGTGTGGAAAGGAGGGGGGCACCAAGATTGGTCAGTGCTTAGGGCACCAGTGAGCCTTAATCTGCCCCTGATCCCAAGGTTTCCCGAGTCCCATGAGAGGGCTGTAGATACACTGTGCACATGGAGGCCCTTAGTTACAGGGGCCATTGTACCTGCTTGCTCAGCAGACAACCTCCCTATGGAAACAGGGACATGCCATACAGCTTTGTGAGAGATATGGATTCAGAAAATACAGATGAAGTCTGCAAGCAAAATGACATGGCCTACAGAACAAAGTCAACATATACAAAAAGTAACAAAATGTTTGGAGAAGTGAATGTGAGATTCTATGAAAGAATGACAAGAGATTAAACCTTTACAGCAGCAAATAAAGTTGGAAAAGTAAAGAATATATGGAACCCCAAACCATCCAAATAACTGAATATAGATGGCTACTTTCAGAAGCTACTTTTCTTACATACAAGGGGAAAAGACACAGAATTAAGACTTTAAAACTTAAGAGGAGAAACCAGAGAATGAAAAAGAGGATGAAATCCTACAAAAATGGTTAAAACTTTCTGGTTTGAGGTTACACACACGCTCAAGAGAAGAAGGTCAAAACCCTTTAGACAACTGAGATTATACAATTTTTCAAGATTTTATAAATGGCTGAAAATATAGAGATGCTTAAGACTTTACAACTAAATTAGACTGACACAACCAATTTGAAAGAAACAGGAACTTTATTTTAGAAGAAGAAGAAGAAGAAGAAGAAGAAGAAGAGATTGGATGTATACCCCGCCCTTCACTACCCAAAGGTGTCTCAGAGCGGCTTACAAACTCCTTTCCCTTCCCCTCCCCACAACAGACACCCTGTGAGGTAGGTGGGGCTGAGAGAAGTCTGACAGAAACTGCTCTTTTTCGAGAACAGCTGTGCCAGAATTATGGCTTGCCCAAGGTCATCCAGCCAGGTGCAAGTGGAGGAGTGGGGAATCGAACCCGGTTCTCCCAGATTAGAGTCCGCGCACTTAACCACTATACCAGACTGGCACCAATTGCAAAAGAATATACATAAAAATAAGGTGGAATATAGAAAATAGATATTTAGATATTGTATGAGATAACACATTGGAATGCACTGATTGGCAAGTGAATGAATGGTGCTTTCACACACCCTAAATGACACACTTCCAGTCCACTTTGCAGCTGGATTTTGCTGTGTGAAATGGCAAAATCCACCTGCAAACAGTCACTGAAGTGGATTGAAACAGCATCATTTAGCATTTGTGAAGGCATTGTGGAGAACTCGGTCTGGAGTAGCTCAGAGCTTCGCTTTAAGCGGCGGGGAAGAGGTACGAGAAATTGTGACCTTCTTGTTCACACACCTCAGAATTAAAGAAGGAGCCCTTTAATTCGGCTTCTCCTCTTTTTATCAGTCCGAAACCCTGGGTCAGTGTTTACTCACAGCTGATCCCTCAACAGTTTCATCCCAATCACTTCCTCCCTGGCGTGCAATACCTGTGTCATCTTTATTCTCATTGTCTCCCACTCCCTCCCGCTTAAAGCAACATTCCCATCTTAACCCGCCGTGCGTCTTCTCGATCTGGGCTGGTTCTCTTGTTGTAACTAGGCATCCGTCTATGCAGTAATTCTTCCTTGGTTCCCTTATCGCTGGTCTGGCTCTTCCGTACTCCTTGGTTTCTGTATCGCTGCGCCCTGGAAGCCGGATGTCCCCTTCTGTCTTCTGCGTCAGGTCGGCCCGGGGCTCCTGACAGGCATGTGTGAAAATGAAAGTGAATTCTTGGTTAAAACAGAGTAACTAAACATGACCAAGGGCAGACAAAATGGCCGCCATGGTACATTGCTGTCTGAGATCGGGTTGCCAGGTCCCCCGGGGGGCAGGGGTTTGCCCGCTCGATGGGCCCCTTACCTGCCAGCCTGGATCCGGCCGCTGGGGTGAACCCCACACCCAAAGTGCCAGCATTGCGGGGACGTGCCCGCCACGATGACAGCACCCGGAGGTGACGTCATTGCGCTGGGCATGTTACAGGGGGGACACTCTATCATTCGAGGGAAAACTCTATGTTTTCCCCTTGAATGATGGTGCCCCTGCCCCCAGCATGCCTGACGCGATGACATCACTTCCAGGCTGCCCTGTAGCTAGGGATTTTGGGGTGAGGGGGCCTCGGGGGGCACAGCTAATTAAATCAAAGCTAATAATAACATTAATTCAATTTGGGGCCAGCCCGGAAAGGAGGGAGCCCGGAAGAAATGCTAGGGGGCCGGGCCCCGTGGGCCCCCATTAACTACAGGCCTGCTTCCAGGATGTCCCGGAGAGGGGCCGGGACTCCCCCACCGGAACAAAGGTGAGACCTGGCAACCCTACATGTGTGAAGTGTTAAGTCGGTTACTTAACAAAGAGTCAGAGAGCGATTGCAGCAAAAGATCAGCTTTATTCAGCAACTCGTAACTCAACTCCAAACAGATCAACATGAATAGCCGGAACAGCTTTTACATTGCAGCCATCCTGCTTTTAAACTCTCCTGGCTAATGTAGCCACGCCTACTGTACATTTACCAACCAATAAAGTTGTATGCATACGCTTGCGGGGAGGGCGGGGTAAAAATCTTCAAATAAATAAATAAATAAATAAATAAAGACGGACCTATCACAGACATTCCCGCTCAGGGAGCTTGCTGACAAGTGATTGGTTGGTTCTTCCTGGGCTAGCAATGCGATTGGATAGATTTGGATCCTAGCCCAGGACGAAGCTTTACATGGCAATTCAATTATGTTGTTCATATACAGTTATGCATTCAGTGGCAGCTATTGAAGACATTACATGAAGGCATGTGCGAAAACGAAAGTGAATTCTTTGTTAAAACAGAGTACATAAACATGACCAGTGGCAGACAAAATGGCCACCATGACACATTTAATTTAATTTAATTTAATGAATCCGATTTCTATCCCGCCTTGCCTGGCAAGCAGGCTCAAGGCGGCGTACAATAATAATTTACAATAAAAACAGATAAAATTCCAACGACAAAATATAAAGCGCAGATGAAATACAAGCGATAAAGTACAGGTGGCGATCGTTGTCGTTGGCCCCGTATGACTACTAGACCAGTATCCCAAAGAAAGTGCCAGTAATAGATGTTCAGTAACTCGTTCAGTGGCGGCTCCTAATCGAAAGTCTGGTGGAAGAGCTCCGTTTTACAGTCCCTGCGGAACTGTAGAAGGTCCCGCGGGGCTCTGATGTCCTCCGGGAGCTCGTTCCACCAGTGTGGAGCCGCCACTGAGAAGGCCCTGGATCTGGTGATAGCCAGTCTGGCATCCTTGGGGCCAGGGACAGTCAGGCAATTTTGAGTCCCCGACCTCAGTGCTCTCTGGGGAATGTTGCTGTCTGAGAGAAGGTTCTTCTGTTTATATGTTGATTTTTGGAGGAGGAGGAGGAGAAATCAGAGTTTCAGCTCTCAGCATTTAGATAGCACCCTGTTTTGAGAGGGAGGGCCAAGGAGGAAAAGAGGCGAAGGTCTTGGTAACCACTCCTGCTGTTGTGCTGACTGATGAGGAACAACACCCTGCTTTCACCGTTGTGAAGATCTCTATCAGCCCGTCTGGCCGGAAGGCACGGGCACAAGACGTAAACACGGAGGAGATCTCGCCAAAGCAGAGACCATCTCTGGCAGGCTGGGTACCCAGGGGTCGGCATTTCTCGGGCCGCACCCTGCCGACCATGAGCAGAGTCTGGGAACAGAGGCAGGCCGCGGCCAGGGTGACGCAAGAAGAAGATGGAGAAGCCGTCTTCCCACAAAATGGGAAAGCGGGCCGACTTAATCGTGGCAGTGCCACTGAGCAACATGGGGGGAGGCCAGCACCGAGAAGGTATACAGCCCTGGATGAACCATTAAGTCGAAATGAGCACGCGCTTAAGTCACAAAGGGAAGGGGGGGGAACCACAGAGAGTTTTATGGCTTGTGTTGCTTACTGCTATTTAGTGCTAAATAAAGAATTTGTTTAAAAGTTTATCGTTAATACGGTTTTGGGCAAGGCTCCCTCTAAGCTGTGGAGTCTTGTGAGCAAAAATTCTACATTGTGAGCTACTGGCATTAAAGTGAGTGAGCGATTTGGCTACTGCATAAACTAGTTTGCTCTGGAGACATCCTTCCTTTTTTAAATTTTAAATATTTTTTTTTAATTTTCATATTATATAACACTTATAAACAGTAAAACATAACTAGAACTACAAACATTAAACCATGAACTAGGTGGTTCTTACAAGATGATACTAAAAAATACAGGTAAAAAGTTAAATAATATTGTCTATTGCAGAACAGGCAAGTTTTATAAACAGGTGAGTATTTCTTTGTATTTTGCAGGCATTTTGCATCAAGGTGGTGAACTTTCATTATGTATATATTCCAAAAAAAGGTAGCCATTTGGTCAATAAGTTCGTGGTAAGTCCTTTTTCTTCAATTCTTTGTATGGTATCTGATATTTTATCCATAGTTTATAAGTCCCATAGCTTCGTGAACCAACGTTCAGTGGAAAGTGGTTTGGGGTCTTTCCAGGTAGACGCTATCAATGTTTTGGCAGCTGAAAGCATGGTGGAAATTAATTCTTGTTGTATTTTGGGAATCGTATCCATCCATAGATCTAGTAAAATTTGCTTTGGGGTTTGATTAATCTCATACCCCGTTATTTCTTTTATATACCAAATTATTTCCCCCCAAAAACTCTTTAACTATACAACAGTCCCACCAACAATGTATAAAGGATCCATGTTCACCACATTTCCCCCTGGAGATTTCCTTCCTGAGTTAACACAAAAACCTGTGAGCTGGAGGCTAAAAACCTGTGAGCTAGCTCACACTGACTCAGCTTAGAGGGAACACTGGTTGTAGGGTCTGGCCTGGAAGAAAACTCCAGGTGGTATTCAGAGAAACTGGGATGCTCAGCTAGGGTTGCCAGGTCTGGGTTGGAAAATACCTGGAGACTTTGGGGGTGAATCCAGAAGAGGGCGGGGCTTGGGGAGGGAGGGGCCTCAGCATGGTCCGATGCCATACAGTCCCCCCTCCAAAGCAGCCATTTTCTCCAGGGGAGCTGATCTCTGTCAGCGGGGGATGAGTCCTAAAAGCGGGGGATCTCTAGGCCCCACCTGGAGGCTGGCAACCCTGCACTCAGCATACGTAACTGACAGATGAAGAGAACGCCAAGACCACGTATTCAATATAGGAACTCTCTATATATCATGAAAGTCAAATTTTAGTGCTAACGAAATCTCTAAGCCTTTTGTAATCGATGACAGAAAAACTTCATACCCAAACAAGCAGTTTAGAAGTCACAAAATGTGCTCCCGGGCACTAGTCGGTTAAGCGGGTGCACACAGCCACTCCAGCAAGATGTGCTCGCGGGCACTAAATCGATTTACAAAATGTGCTCGCGGGCACTAAATCGACCTACACACAGTGAAAGTGGGTGGAGTGCAACGTGGCAACCCTAACGTGGTAGGTGCTGGAAAAGGTGCCGGTGAGACCCTTGCCGTTGTGTGATATTAAAGTTTTATGACCTCAGGAATTAGGCTGTGGAAGGTCGGTAGTTCAGCAGTTCGAGACCCGAGTTGCCTCATGACGGAGTGAGCTCCTGTCTCTAGTTCCAGCTCCTGCCAACCTAGCCGTTCGAAAGCAAGAAATTGTTGTTGTTCAGTCGCACAGTCAAGTCCAGACTCTTTGCGACCCCATGGACCAAGTCCTGCCAGGCCCTCCTGTCTTCTGCTGTCCTCTGAAGTTGACTCAATTTCATGTTCGTTGCATCTATGATACTGTCTAACCATCTCATCCTTTGCCGTCCCCGTCTTCTTTGACCTTCAAGAAATTGCAAGTAGATAAATAGGTACCGCTTCGGTGGGAAGGTAGCAGCGTTCCGTGCGCCTTGGTGTTTAGTCATGCCGGCCACATGACCATGGAAACGTCTTCGGACAGCGCTGGCTCTTTGGCTTGGAAAAGGAGATGAGCACCGCCCCCTAAAGTTGGATACGACTGGCTTTCGAGCAAGGGAACCTTTACCTTTACCTTACTAACATCTCAAGACTGCATCACCTAGATGGAAGAGGCAGCCAGTCATTGGGCGATTCTGTATTGGCTTTTCCCTCTGTAGCGAAAGCCACATCGGAACAGAAATTCCCCTCCGCACTGCATGTAGGGTTGCCAGGTCAGGGTTGGAAAATACCTGGAGACTTTGGGGGTGGATCCAGGAGAGGGCCGGGTTTGGGGGAGGGGCCTCAGCATGGTACAGTGCCACAGAGTCCCCCCTCCAAAGCAGCCATTTTCTCCAGGGGAGCTGATCTGTGTCAGCTGGAGATCAGTTGTCAAAGCGGGAGATCCCCAGGCCCCACCTGGAGGCTTGGCAACCCTAACAGCATGCTGCGTTCACTTTCTTTGATCGTCGGATTTTATGGTACCCTCCACACTGCATGCAGCTTTCGCTTCCTTTGATCATCGGGTTTTATGGCACCTTCTGCATAGATTTATGGCCGTTCAGAGGTGACTTAGCAGTCAGTGTGGCATTGCCCCGGGGTACCTGAGGGCAATTCTTCATCTGGCATTCGCTCCACATTTTCTCAACTGGGAGGGAAAAGCACAGCTCAAAACCACATTCAAATACCTCGGGGCAACGCCCTACTGACTATAAAGTCTCCCCTGAATGGCCATAAATCTATGTAGAAGGTACTGTAAAACCTGATGATCAAAGAAAGTGAAAGCAGCATGCAGCGTAGAGGGTACTATGAAACCCAATGATCGAAGAAAGTGAAAGCAGCATGCAATGCAGAGGGCACCGTAAAACCTAATGATCAAAGAGAGTGAAAGCAGCATGCAATGCAGAGGGTACCATAAAACACAATGATCAAAGGAAGTGAAAGCAGCATGCAATGCAGAGGGTACCATAAAACCCAATGATCAAAGAGAGTGAAAGCAGCATGCAATGCAGAGGGTACCATAAAACACAATGATCAAAGAGAGTGAAAGCAG